AATAACGCAGAGTTATACAATCCTAACTCATGTCGTAGACGTTCAAGAATTCAAAGTATGCCTTATCGGATTTAAAAACACATTAAAAGCCCTTAGACTAGATGAAACGTTCGACATCTCTAGAATTATAAAAAGGGAAACTACAGCAACTAGAAAACGGAATAGACCCCCTACTTCCGCACGCCAGAACAAAAAAGAGGTTTAATTAACGGCCTAGGACTATTCTAAAGTCGATTTCGGGTAGCAATTGGACAACAACGTACGGACAAAATATACTTGCAGAAATAAACAACCTAAAAGTTACCCTCACACATTACAAAATTATCAAGACAAACAACAAACAATTTTAATAAACAGGTCATTATTAGACTTAATAACATTACGGACCACAGAAATAACGAACAAATTGAAATACAACAAGAAAGGAAGCTAACTTCGGCACGCCGAAGTTTGTATACCCTTTGCAGATATTATTTCATTACATTTCAACTATACTTATAATGTTTACAGTTTGACAGTTACAGCTTTACATTCACACCTTTACATTTTCTCTACATCTACCGATCGCTCCTATGGCCGCTATATGATATAGTTGTCCGATTTTACGCAAATTTATACCAAAATTCTACAATAATAAAATAAGCTTATATCTCAGAGTAGATGAAAATACGTTGAAAAACAACGAGTTATAATTTGCTTCCTACACTCTCCCGATCGTTCTCGGCAGCTATAAGATATAGTCGTCCGATTCTCATAAAATTTTTACCAAAATTCAGAAATAATATAGAATGGCCATACTCAAAAAAATGGTGCAAAAATGATAAAAAACAGCAAAGTTATAATTTTTTTTTTCGAAAAAATTTATCGAACATTTGTATGGTGTTAAGCTATATGATATAGTCGTCCTGATCCGGCCCGTTCCGACAATATATAGCAGTGAGAGTAAGAGAAGACAGTATATGCAAAGTTCAGTCAGATAGCTTTAAAACTGAGGGACTTAGTTTGGCGTGGAAACAGACAGACGGAGCAGATGGCTGACGGATAGATTTGACGGACGGGCAGACGGACAGACGGACATGGCTATATCGAGATGTGAAAGTGAAGTTGCCGAGTACGGATGCACCGCGGAGGCGCTCCCGCGCAATCCGCGTTGCGTGTGAGCTTCGGCATGTCCCCAACGAACCTGGGTGCAGGCCGGACGAGTGAGGCAGTGGGGAACACTCACCTGCAGCGGCAAGCCTTGGATGTCCACGGATGACCAAGTAAATCCGAATTACAAATCCTGTGATTTGGGCCGGCGGCGAGAGCTGAGAGAGCGGTGAGAGCATTCCTTCCAGTTTCTGGCCCCATTGTTGTTGCCTCCTCCAGTCCAGAAAGTGGACTATTCCTTCCACGGCAAATGTGGCTGCCCCCCGCAGCAGGCCAGTCACGCCAGCTGATGGACAGATCAGCTGCGATCCAGTGTTGGGTAGCCCCCAGTTCTGCACCGGTCTGGCAACCCATCGCTGCCGCCAGGTGGCGCTGAGAGGATCCACCAGCAGCTGGCGCCAGTGCGCCAACCTTAGCTGACGAAAGCTGCATGCTACAGCACGTACATGCCAAACACCGATCCAGGAGGTAGCATACCTTTAGGGCTGCTGCTCCTGATCCTTGGCTCGAGGGAAGTGGGATCATCACGGAACGTCGTGATCAAGGCCCGCACAGGGGATTAAATGGTGGTAAAGGTCAAGGGAGCCGACCATCAGCCAACCCCTCCGCCTGCGGTCCACCTTTAAAATCGGGGGCTCTGGCGACCGAGCAGGGGGCGGTATAACCCCACCTGCTAAGTCTCGGGGAAACCCCTGACCATCGAGGGACCCCATAAGTGCACTCGCCTTTCCTCCACACTCCTCCACGTAGCGTCTGTCCCATAATGGGCGGCTATGTGATCTGCGTCTGCGCCACATTGGCCGGCAGAAGAACAAACCGGGCAGCAGGCTCTAGCTGCATCAAATCTCCCAAACCCAGGCAGCGTCTGACCCACATTGGGCGGCTACCTGGTCTGCGTCTGAGCCACATTGGCCGGCAGTTAAACATACCTGGCAGGAGGTATAAAATGCAGCCCTTGCATTGGGCCAAAATGCAAACAAAATTGGAAATGTCTTCGCAAAACGTGAATACTCCAGGTGGCAGCCACACACGGAAATCCACCCGCGGAGAACCCGCGGCCAGGGCAAGGATTCTGGAGGCCCCCAAAAACATTCCCCCAAGCACCGACGTGGTGGTGGCTGACTTGGCCGCCACGGTAGTTAATACGCCAAGCCAAGACGACGAGAAAGATGACGGTCCAATGGCCTTTAGAAGGAGTAGCAGGGTTCTAAGATCCCCCGCTCCTCCCAGCGAGCAAGGCTCCGGTACCGACAGCAGGAGAATGCGGACTCCCAAACTCCCAAAAGGGGCACGGACGCTGCCAGCCCAGCAGGCTCTCAGCGAGATACGCCACCTAAGAGATGCAGGAATCCCAGTGCCTCAAAAACATTGCGGAGCTGGGAAAGATCCTGGATGATGTCCCTCGACGACATCAATAACAAGCAGGTCCGACACATAACCTTGGTTATGAAGACCAAGCTGGCGAGGGTGAAGGGACCTGCAAGCCGACATAGGGGGAGTGGCCTCAACTCTGCTCGGAAACCTGAGGAGACGGACCGACCCGAAACTGCAGTAGCATGCCACAACTGTTCCCAGGGCGGGAACAAGATTGAGAGCACTCAGAGGCGGGACGCAGCACAGCAGACGCCCAAGGTCTGGAGAAGGGGACGGCGCAACACAGACGGAGGCGCGGCGAGCCCCGACCACCAACTACAGAGAAATCGCAAGTAACGGCGGCCAACTCGAGGAAGGCAGGACGAACCGGGCGGGAGCGCCCCACGCCGGCTGAAGCCGCTAAGCAGGGGAAAACTTCCGCAGAGGGACACCGCGGCCAGCGCGCCCAAATCCAGGGCACCCGACCCGCCGCAGCCAACCGGCCCAGCGACTGAAGGCCCAGAAGCTGAGGGAGGCGCCTGGAAAACCTACACGAGGAAAAAGCGGCGCAAGAAACTCGAGGCTCCTCATCGATCCCGCCCGGACGCAGTCATTATAGCTGCGAAAGGGAAGACATAGCAGTGAAATCCTGGCCATGGTCACCAGAAGGGACGACAGCCAGCTTGCAGGCCTGGGTATGATAGCGCGTCAAAAGGTTAGGACGAACTACCAACGGAACCTCTCTAGAGGTGGCGAAGAATAGCACTGAGAGCGCAGCGTCAATGCGAACGAGCATAGCGCAGGTGCTTGGTGAAACGGCGGAGGTTCGGGCGATGTCAGAGGACTCCAAAGGTCTCTGTGCTCGAGATCCGAGAGCTGGACGCCCTAGCCAAAGAGCCCGAGATTGTGGCCGCGATCGCGGAGCAATTCAGCTTGGATGGGGCCAAGGTCAAAGTGCGAAGCCCCGCCCCTAGCTATGCCGAGTCACAGACGGCAGTAATTAGCCTCCCATGCCCCCTGGCAAAGGCGGTGCTAAAGAGAGGTTCTCTACGCATAGGCTGGACTTCCTGCACGATCAGGGAGAGGACAGGCCCCCCCAGATGCTACCGGTGTCTCGAGGCTGGCCACCTGGCCGCAAACTGCAGAAGCGCGACCGACCGAGCGGCTGCTGCATAAAATGCGGGGAGAGGGGACACAAAGCCGCTAAGTGCCCCAACGAGGCGAAATGCTTCCTCTGCGCTGCTTCCGGCAAGAAGGAGACGAGGCATTCAGGCAGGCAGCAAAAGCTGCCCGACCAGGAGCTCCAGTAGCAGTGGCGCCTTCCCCGTAACGCGCCATGCAGTTGATTCAGCTGAACCTGAATCACTGCAGGGCAGCGCATGATCTGCTAATGCAGACGGTGCGCGACCTGGACGTGGATGTGGCGGTGCTCAGCGAGCCATACAAGGCTGCAAGCACATGGTTGGGCCATGGACCGGACTGGCAAAGCTGCGCTGTGGATGTGCGGGCGGGAACCCGCTCACATGTCCGACGTCAGATCGGCGGATGGCTTCGTTCGCGGTAGAGTAGGCGGGTGTGGGTGTACAGCTGCTACCTGGCACCAAGCCTCACCCTGGAGGCCTTCAGCAGCATCATCGACGAGCTCAGCGATGACATCCGCGGACGGAGCAACACACCAGTGGGCGGCGACTTCAACGCTTGGGCCCAGGATTGGGGGGCGCCCTCAACCAACGCCGAGGCCGCATCATCCTGGAGGCCTTCGCCTCCCTGGATATTGCTCTTCTGAATGAGGGTACCCAGCATACCTTCAACAGAGCGGGAGCAGGGTCCGTTATAGACCTCACTTACGCTAGCAGTGCACTAGCCTGCCTAGCCAGGTGGAGGATCAGCGAGATCTATACAGCCAGCGATCATGAGGCCATCCTCGTCTCCCTCGGCGAGAACTCACCGAGCAGGACGATCCCGCCCAGCGCAAATAAGGCATATCGGCAAGACACGGCTCAACGCCCAAGCGTTCTCGAGCGCCTTAGCGGGCCTAGCCACAGACGAAACGGACAGCGCTAACGATGCTGCGCTCAAACTGGCGGCCGCGGTCGAGCGTGCATGCAATGCAAGTGTGCAGAAGCGGAAATCTTTCCGGAAGCATCACGCACCGGTGTACTGGTGGAGCGATGACATCGCAAACCTCCGCTCCTCTTGCCTCCGAGCCAGGAGGAAAGTCCAGAGAGCGCGCGGCTCTCCGAACTTACCAGCCCGCAGCGAGGCTTACGGGACCGCAAGGGCGGCCCTAAAGAAGGCGATAAAGTCCAGTAAGAGAGTGCTTTCTTAAGCTATGCGACGTCGTTGAGAAGGGACCCATGGGGCGGGGCCTACCAGAAAGTCGTAAAGCGAGTGAGCGCTGGCAGCAAGGCGCCAACGGACCCTGAGGCTCTCGAAGGCATAGTCCGGGTGCTATTTCCGACTGGGCAACCGCTCAACTTCCATGTGAGCAGGGGCCCATGGAGATATGCCCGGTCTCGGAGCAGGAGATCCTAGTGTCAGCGAGGACGCTCAAAAACAAGAAGGCGCCTGGCCCTGATTCAATCCCTAACAGGGCGACCAAACTGCTGCTCACACTGCACGCCAAAGCGATCGCCGATTTGTTCAACAAGTGCCTGGCGGAAGGCTCGTTCCCAGTGAGATGGAAGCGCCAGAAGCTTCTTCTCCCCGAAACCGGGAAGCCAGCGGGCGAGGCATCTTCGTACAGACCCATCTGTCTGCTGGATACGATTGGGAAGGTATTTGAGAAGATGATCGTTTTAAGGCTGGAGGCAGCGATAGAGCGCGCTGGTGGGCTCGCGCCAAACCAGTTCGGCTTCCGGAAGAGGAGATCGACCCTGGATGCCATTGAAACGGTCACAAACCTGGCCGCGAACGCAATCGCTGGCGCGAGATGGAAAAAAAGGCGCCAAGGAATACTGCCTGGTTGTTACTCTTGACATCCGGAACGCATTCAACTCTGCGGACTGGAGGCGGACACTGGAGGCTCTGGAAGCCTTCAGCATCCCGGGCTACCTGCTGAGGATAGTCCGCAGCTACCTCAGCGAGAGGAGTCTCATCGTGGACACGTCCCAGGGTACCAGAACGCACGAGGTCTCAGCCGGAGTCCCGCAGGGCTCCGTTCTGGGACCGCTGCTCTGGAACACGATGTATAACGGGGTGCTAAACCTCCCGCTATCCTCGAACACCACTATCGTTGGCTTTGCCGACGACGTGGCGCTGGTGGTAGTGGCGAAGGAGCTGGCAGATGCGGAGATGGCGGCAAATAGCGCAATCCGTGCGGTCGAGTCCTGGCTTGCAGTCGCCGGCCTCGAACTGGCCTCGCACAAGACCGAGGCAGTCCTGATCTCCAGCAGGGAAGCGAGTGGAAACGGCGGAGATCCGGGTAGGTGGACTTCCAATCACCTCCCAGCGCGCACTGAGGTACCTGGGCGTCATCCTGGACACACGCCTCTGCTACAGAGAACACCTAGAGTATGTTCATAAAAAGGCCAGCGAAACCGCAAGGTCCCTCTCCAGGATCCTGCTGAACACCAGGGGGGCCCAAGCAGTGCAAGAGGAAGCTGCTCATGAGCGTCGTCACGTCGCAACTCCTCTATGCAGCCCCAGCCTGGGCGGAGGCTGTGAAAGTCAGGAGCTATGTGAGGGGTGTAGAAGGGGTGTACCGCCTATGCGCTCTAAGAGTAGCGTGCGCCTTCCGGACTGTCTCCGACGACGCGGCCCTAGTCATAGCGGGGCAGGTGCCGATATGTGAGCTGGTTCGAGAAGCCCAGGAAGCCCGCCTCTCACGCGAGCCGGGAAACTCTTCGGCGAGGCGCGAGGCCAGGAGCAGCGCCAGAAGCAGTAGTATCGCCCGGTGGCAGTCCCGGTGGGACAGTTCCACAAAGGGCCGTTGGACTCACCGCTTGATCCCTGATATCCAAAGCTGGATCACCCGAAAGCACGGCGAGGTAGACTTCTACCTGACACAGGCGCTCAGTGGGCACGGCTGTTTTCGGAGCTACCTAAAACGTTTCGGCCACGACCCAGAGGACCACTGCCCGGAATGCGGGACCGGTGTCGAAGAGAACGCGCAATCCACGTTCTTTTCGAATGCCATCGTTTTCACCACGAGCGGCTGGCACTGGAGGAAGTTGTGGGCGCTGCCATCGGAGCTGACAATCTGGTCCCCACTATGCTTGGCAGCCAGAAGGCCTGGGACGCGACTGCCACTTTTGTGGCAAGCGTCATGAAAACGCTGAGAACTCTGGAGACGGAGAGAAGGATGCGTGCAGAGTAGGTGGCCCGTACCTCGCGCGAAGCAATGCCTAGCGGCGGTACCGCGCGACCAAGGCCCCCTACACCGTAAAACAAAGCAGCCTTCAATCAAACAATTTGCAGTCTTCGTTCTTTTCTGTTTGTTGTTATTTGTATATTACTAAGGATTTAATGTTGTTAATAAATGGAATATAAAAAAAAAAAAAAAACATGGCTATATCGACTCGGCTGTTGATGCTGATCAAGAATATATATACTTTATAGGGTCGGAAACGTCTCCTTCACTGCGTTGCAAACTTCTGACTGAAATTATAATACCCTGCAAGGGTATAAAAATTTCTCGACATAGCACACAACACTATCTTCAAAGAACTTAGGGAAGGTAGGGAAAACATCTTCACACTACAATACATTAATCGAATAAACTTCCATATCGACACCCTGAAAGAACATATTAACAACATAGCTGAGAGCCTACTGGCCAGCAAATTGGGCTTAATCCCAAAATTTTTATTTAACAAACACGAAATAAATACTATAAGGAATATGCTAAGCACACAAAATATCACCCTACAATTAGACGAACACATCTATAATTTACTTGCACCATCTTGTTTCACTTTTAATAACAAGCTATTGTTTAACGTTAAGATACCAATCTTCGATTCAACAATTTATAAGTTCACTCATGTCATACCCTTACCCATAAATAAGTCCCATTTCATCATTTCCCTGAATTCTTGGCACATAATAACAACACATTGCATCAATTTCGCGAAAGCTGTCTTAAGGTAGAACAAGAGTTCTTCTGTCAAAGAATCCACGCCGACCCGATGATAAAAAATAACTAGTGTCTGGAGGATATTGTCAATAACGTAAACGAGACAAAATGTGACTTGATAGACACAGGACACGAAATGAACATATTCGAACCGGAGAAAGGATTAATTTTCATCTTCAACGCAAAAAACACCACCCTTAAATCAACCTGCAACGATGAGGTACTTTTAAACGACTCCTTCATAATACATTATAAGAACTGTACCACATGGATAAATGGTATAGAATACAGCGACAAAGAATTAGTGGAACACGACCATTTCACCTTCGTACTTCCACCAGTCATCAAAATAGTAAAAAATCAAACCATCAAAGCACTATCTTTGGAAAAATTACACTTAGAAGCCCTTTCGACAGCCGGGAAAATCATCGAGATAGATAATATAACACACTACAAGTTCACGGCCATATATTCAACAATATTATTGATCCTTATCCTGATCATCATTCTCCGACTATGTCATAAACCACGGACCATCTTCCTCCCACATCCTCCAACCGTTACTACCTTTGTGGAGCCGACCATCCCTTCGTTATGGCCCTCTCTCCACTCTAGGGAGGGAGGAGTTACCGCACACATTGTTGCGGACACACCGCCGCCCCCCAAACCCCAGCGGAGCAACCGAATGGTCATTAACCCAAACAGTGGACAAACGCTGAGTTTGGGGAACCGACGGAAGTAAGCAGAACCAACACTTAACAGCTATGCGAAACCACAAACATAACAAACCGCCAACTATGCAGATTCTCATTCTCCACTCGAATCTGCTGGATATGCATATTCTCGATCACACCATTTCATTTCCACAATTCCATTGTATCCCATAAGTCCCACATATTCCACTGTATCCCATAGGTTACTCTTGAGTTTGAATAAGAATAATAAATCATTATAATTTTGACCGAAGTCGAAGCAAGTTCTCATTTTATTAAACATACATTATATACATTGGAACCCCTTCCTTGGACTTGACTGGCAGTTTTACTGGAAGGACCCCCTCTGGACTTCACCTCCTCCAGTACTAACTGTTAATTGCGCGCGCGCCACTAATCGTGAAGGAGGGTCACACTGGACCGAACGGAGGCTGGCCACACTATTCGGGGAAAATCCCGCACAGGACCCTGGCCACACTGAAGCCTCGCCAGGGCCTATATAAAGCGGACCACGGCCCTGGAGTAATCACTTATACTGGCATGACACTGCCGCATTAATTAGAGACTTCATTAAAGATTTGACAGCGCTATAGAGTTTTACACAAGTGCGAGCAAGACGACTATATGGCGCTCTAATGCATTAGAATAATGCATTAGCTACTTCATTGCCGCGATAATCGATAGATCTACATATTATATACTAGATACTCGATAACAAAATACGGGTTTAATGAAGAAAATTGTAATTGAAAAATGTATTAGCCAGTTCATTGACAGTATGGTCTCACAATGAGAATTTTATTTTTATATCATTTCGCTTGTTTTTTGAACTGAAAATATATTAGAAAAATAGCAAAAATAATATGTTTTGCGGTAGCAAGGTTCTTGCGCTGTAAAATTAATTAAAATTATTTTTTTGTAATAATTAAAAAAAAATTTAAGCATTATAGGTTAAAAACATAAATTTAAAGGATTCTGCATTTATTTATGCAATAATACTTCGACGAGGAATTCAGAAATTCATAATAATACGCCGCGAAAGGCGGCCGTTTTTTTGGTTTACCTTTTACGGTCGGTGTGACCGTAGTCGTATTACCAAAATAATCCAAGCAAAATTCAAGCAAAATTACACAAAATTACACATATAGTTGACTCTTTCAAGGTTCTAATGAAGTAGCTTATTAATGAAAACTGCATTACTGTATCATATGGGCATTAGCAGCCGACTGCGATTGGGTCGAGTTAACCTCCCCAGTAGTTAGCAGCGAAGTCACTTTTTGGGAACTCAGGTTCCTATTTATAAATCGTAGTTAGGATCTCTGCTGGCTCTCGAGTCCGATTCTCTCTGCCGACTTGCGAGTCCAAAATACTGCCGACTTCAGAGTCCGATTCTCTCTGCTGACTTTTTCGAGTCCCAAACACTGCCGACTTTCGAGTCCGATTCTCTCTGCTGACTTTCGAGTCCAAAACACTGCCGACTTTCGAGTCCGATTCTCTCTGCTGACTTTCAAGTCCAAAACACTGCCGACTTTCGAGTCCGATTCTCTCTGCTTACTTGCGAGTCCAAAATACTGCCGACTTCAGAGTCCGATTCTCTCTGCTGACTTTCAAGTCTGAATCTGCTGACTTTCGAGTCCGAACGCCTCCGAGCTGACTTTCGAGTCCAACAAACGTCGCTGAGCTGACTTTCGAGTCCGACAACCACAGAGTTCAGTTGACTTTCGAGTCTGAACGCAGTCTCTCGTGAAGGACTTTCGAGTCCGAACGCATTCGCTTGTGGGTGGCTTTCAAGGCCACAGACCCACCTTTTGGGCGAAACTATCGGCATCTTCCCTACTGGATAGCCGCAAAGCAGGACGAGGAGGACGAATCGGAACTACGGCGTACCCCAGAATCGAGATCCGGCATTATTGAGAATTGTACCTTTTAAGTAAATAAACATTAAGATACATTTACGGCATATTCCTCTAGCGTTCTACTCTGGGACGGGGTCGGAATCCGTTACAGCAACCACGCCTGAACCAAATAAATATATCTGCACAGACCCTGGACGTCCCGCTGACTACCCGTGGACGACAGGACGTTACAAGCTTTCCAGGGGTTCCATCATAGTAATGGAGTTCCTTGATTTGGGCCAGCAACTGGTTCAGGTGCACTTCGGATAGTTGTGGAACTGCCATTTTTATGATTTGTTGTTTTGGTAAGTTTTTGATTGATTGGTTGCTTCCAGATTGATTGGTTGCTTGCAGAGTTTTATTTCTGACCACACGGGTTTTTTTCAGTTTTCACAGAATTAAATAATTTCTTGTTGATATTATTTCTCTGACCGCACGGGATTTTTTATCACTTCGAATCACGTAGATTCTTTTGCGGATCACTTTAATTTCGGAATCACTGTTAAAATTCGCTGGTTTCAGGATGCTAGTTGTAAAGCGTAGCCTTTCAGTTAAACCAGTACCGTACTTTAAGGACTGGATAACTAGATATTCATAAGTAAAAAAATATATAATTTTTATTTAACTGAATATTACAATTAGTTTTACAAAGGTTTTGTATTTTAAATGAAGATCACCGACCGAACAATTTCGTGTCTCTAACTGAACTCTCCTAATTGATTTGGATTGATTAACGTTCAAGCCTCGGTCTCGAGCTTTCAAATATTGAGTTAAACTTTTAAAGTTCTGAAGAGAATTTGGAGAGAGCTTGGAGAGAGGTTAAATCCATACGGTTCAGTGGGGTCTGCAGTAGTAGTATCTGAGAAATAATCGTTTTTCGCCCTTATGCAGAAACTGCTTTAGATCGTAATCAGCCCGACGATATGTTCTTTTGTGGGCCGGATCTCGCGACCGCATGACTCTTTTCGTCTTCACCAAATCCAGGACCTGAGGTTTTAAAAGAGAACGAGGTGAATCTGATGGGTTTATTGAACCTTTTCGACAGGTTGAAGATTCGGCAGCAATGTGGATGTTTCGCACAAAGACCTCAATGGCGTCTTCATTGTGGAAGTGAACAAAATAATATACTATTTTTAGACAAACATGGCTTCTTATATTTTTTTTTAATATATATGATGATAAGTATTTAGTTTAGTAATATGTACTTTACCATTTTATAGGTGGAAATGGACTAATTACCAATAATCAAGCTTCAACAAGTAGCTCTTCTCATGTTGATTATAAAACCAAAAAGAAAGCGATTTTGAAAATAAACAATTCTCAATTCGATACCTCGATCAATCAAGACAAAGGCCTTCGGTTAAAGAATACATACTTCACTCGTTCGTCTCAACCCAAACGTCGAGACTTACGCCTTCATCCACATGCTGTTCGAACTGGTGATTATTATATGTTTGAAGAGTTCGGCGATGATGATGATATGGATGTATATGAAGAATATGATTTTTTGGAAAAAGAAGATTATCGCGCTCGACAGATGCGTCTATCCGTAAGTTATGCAATGTGTAATGTAACTAAGCCATAACAGCAAGTTTTGCATCGGTTTCTTATGATCAAATGAAAAGAGATATAATCTTATAGTTTCACATTGATCGATGGTTTTATGTGAGCTATATGATTATTATTTTATACCGAAATTCTATAAAAAATAAAATGCCATATCTCGAAGTAGATTAAAATATACTGTGTCAGGTAGGTAGGTCGGCGTAATAGAAAAGTTTTTTTTCTATAAATTTTCCGATCGTGCTTATGGCATTTTCCTGATATACTCATTCTATCTTGCCCGTTCTCATCTATCATCTAATCTCATAATTCGGTTTCCTAACGGAACTTCCTATTTATTGGAGCCATCTTTCCGCTATTCAGTTGGTCTCCAAAAGACTTTCGGATAGGGACTGTTCAGTTTTGCTGCGTGTCCCACTGTGCGGGAGAGTGACGGTCAGCCGATCGCTCGCTCGTCTCCGGACAGTGCATACGATACGGGAAGAAGAAAATGAAAGAGAGGGGAAAAGTCAGTCTGATTTTGTAAACGCCGCTGAACGCACGACGCACAGTAGCGCCCTTTCTCATTTTACGTTGCAAAAATCATAACTTTTGAACAAAATAAGATAACTAAATAATTTAAACGCCACTTTATAGGTAATTGTTGTAAAATTTACATATGTATTGGAAAATCTGCCACGCCCACTCATTCGCCTTTTTAAAGGGTATCAAAGTAAAGAAATATTTTTTTCTCAATGAAGACAATTTTTTAAAAATATTTTGTATTTAATTTTTTATCTTTATTTTTATGTATTTGCTCAGATAAAAATAGTTTGATTTTTTTTTTTATTTTTTAACGTGTAACCGCCACGCGCTACAGTTAGTATATTTTTTTGGTTAGTATGAACCTGAGTCGGTATTTTGGTATATTTAACCCTGAGTAGTTTTGGTTTATGCTGTTGCATTTCCGGGGACGCAGCTCGACGCAGCAGATGTAAGTTGATTTTGGTCCAGAATAGATCCACAAAGGTCGTAGTTATAGTGCGTATAGTGGCTCAGCCCATCCCAAAAAGATATAGACTACTTTAGCCAGAAAAACGTGAAAAAAAATGGACACCTGGCAGGTAACGATTTACCTGTGCAAGCCCTAACCCAATTCCCTTCTTTTGGATTGGGTTACAGTTTATGAATGTGTCTATTATTTAAAGCAAAATTATGGCGATAGGTAATATAGTTTTTGTGTAATATTACCTGAAAGTCAACAAATTTTTCGTTTTTTTTCTTATGATGCAAAAATGGAAACAAAGTTCAACTTTGAATGCTCATATCTTCTACAAAAAAAACTGAAAATTGATTTTACAGCAGATTCTGAATCCATGGGAAATTTCCTGTCGAATAAGTATGGTTAAAATCGTTTTTGCGACAACGACTTTTTCGATTTTTGCAACGCCTTTGTTCGAGAGGCGCTACTGTGCGTCGCGGGTCTGACGTCTTATCTATTGCGAATACACACCCATCTGTACATACATATACATATAGTTTAAAGTAAAGCAGTGAATAATAATAATTATAACGTTGAAATTATCCCAACCTGTGTTTGCTCTTGCCTGGGAACCCTCCTACAATGACCTCTTGTTAGTTACATACATACAAGGTGACACAACTATACATGGTGGCCCATGAGGGGGAACCTTGCAATTGTGAAATTTAAATACGATTTTATTTAGATCGATACCGTTAGATCGCGCGGCCGCGTTAAGTGTGCAAGTCGACTCGGCGAACTGCCCGACAAAAAGACGGCGATACATAGGCGCATCAACGGCAGGTCAAGGAACGGAGGCGCTCTCTTCTTTTGTTTCTTTTGTTTGGAATCTTGTGTGCAAAACGGAGTAAGTGACAAATTGTGTGCGAGACAAGAATTTACCGATATTTTCTTTACATGTTTATTTGGGGTGGTGAGTTGCGCTAAGTTTTTCGTTTTACTCTCGTCAGCAAGGAAACTGTTTCGGATGCTCCGACTTTCGAGCAATTAGCTAACCTACAGGCAAATCGGTACTAATCCCTTAAATCGACGCTGCCGAATTTAAAAAAGGATTCATAATCGAGAAAAATGAGAATTTATTTAAAGAAGCGGCTGCAGCAAGTGGCAAGAGCTAAGGAACGCGTTCCAGGAGACTGATGCCGTGATCGTGAATCAAGAAGGGTTTGCGGAATCGAGCTATGCCGTGAAAAATTTCCAATCGGAGTTCGAGGAGCGGTATATGGACGCCTATTGCGCCATCGCAGAGGATTTGGATAAACTGGGATCCGAGACTCCTAAGCTGCAGCCACTGCCAAATGGAGCAGCTGATCCGAAGGTGCGACTGAACATGCCACAGATGTCAGTTCCCAAGTTTTCCGGTGCGTTTGTGTGGACTGGCCAGGCTACTATGACGATTTCACGAGCCTCATACATAACAACAATAATTTGAGTAACGTACAACGGTTACATTTTCTCAAGGAGTCGTTGCCGGTAGGGCGTGATAATGACATCCGTCAAATGCAGCTCACGGACACAAACTACGACGTGGCATGAGGAATGATGATTAAAAAGGTACAACAATCTTCGGCTAGTTTTCCCCACCACATGAACGCGATATACGCGTTGCCCAGGCTGCAAAAAAGATGATACGGATTCAATACGGTCGATGCTGAGCACGGTCAATGTCTGCCTGGCTGCGTTCCGCCCCGTCCAAGCCTTGGGCGGGGAACGGCAGCACTGGTTGGCGCATTACATAGCATCGAAGTTGCCCTAGGAGACCCACAACGCTTGGGAGCATCACCCAAGGGAGCGGTGCCACCGTTCCCACTTATAAGGATTTATAATCATTTTTGAATGATCGGCTGGTCATAATGGATGAGATCGAGTGGCGGTCGTCGTTGCAAGTATACCGTTAATTATAAAGTCAATCCAAATTTTCTCTAGAGGTTGATTCAGCATATGTTCTCAATTCAGTTACTTCCTGTCTCGCCTAGCCTTATAGTATATTTACACCGAACTGAGTTACCTATCGAAATCGAAATTAACGCAATAACGCAAGACGCTAGTTTATACTAGAAAACTTGCGCGTTATTGCGTTAGTTTTTGACAGCTTGTTTGAAATTATTTGAAACAAAAAAAATTACGAAAATGAACAACGACGAAAGCTTGATAATATCAGCAATAGAGCAACATAAAGATGAAGTTCATGGAATTGGCTGGGATGTCTCAAGCAACCTTCGAGGAGCTTCAAAATTCAGGGATTGCCCTGAACACCTTGGAATTAGAGGTGCAGAAACATCGATAACATCGATGTTTTCAAAACATCGGAACCATCGATGGTTCGTGACCACCATCGATGTTTTCACAAGCAACTCTGCGCTCGGTGAGAAAAAATTTAAGTAAATGAATTTCTTATTGTTTTTTCTAAAAACTAACAAAATTGTTGATAATATTTAGGATTTCTAGTTGATGGTGTTGGTGGACGTTGATGGATGACGAAGGCAAGATGGAGAATTACCTGAAAAGTAGATATATATCTTTACAAGCTTCCTTTAGATATGTGTGAATGTATGTGTATGTACACACATACATTCATAAATTGGCTACTAATGCCGCAAAAATTTGGCGCAAGCCTTAAAATAAAGTAGCTCTTGTTTTGTTATGTTGTTTAGACGACGCTCATCCTCGGGTGCGATGCCAACGCAAGGCACACACTGTGGGGAAGTAAGGAGACAAACGATAGGGGTGAGTCTCTCTTCGATAGTATTATATGTCGTGACGTCAATATTTGTAACAAGGGAAACACGCCCACCTTCATCTTTCTAAGCACGGAAGGATTTCAGGGCTGGGAGGAAGTCCTAGACATAACCCTCCAAATGGAGCATAGTGATTACTTCAGACCACAGGTACATATTCTTCGAAATCGTGATGCCGGTATGTGAAACGGCGCCGAAACGAAACCCTCGAAACACTGACTGGGACAAATACGGAAAGATTGTACAGTCAAAGGTCAAAGACAGAAGGATCAAGACCCGATCCACCACGGAGAGAATAGATAAGGAAGTTGAGGACTTCACAAATATTCTGAACAAAGCCTAGAAAGAGTCATGCAGACTAACATACTCTAAGAAGACATACCCACCATGGTGGAACAAAGAGCTATACGAGCTCAGAAAGAAAGTTCGAAAAGCCTTCAACACAAGTTACGGAACCAAAAGACTGGCAGCCGTACAAAGCAATACACAAAGAATACAAAAAGGCAATCTACGTAGCCAAGAAGGAATCTTGGAGCAGCTACTGTGAATCGCTTGAGGGAGTCAAAGACACGGCGAGGCTAAGTAAAATCCTATCGAGAGGACACACAAGCCCCACGCTCATAAACAAACCCGATGGGACAGGAAGTACGTCGGCTGAAGAGTCACTGGAAATCCTGCTGAATACGCATTTCCCAGGAAACCAAAAAAAGAACCTAGAATAATGGAAAGCCAGGGGGCAGACCAGCAGCTACAAGTAGAAGAGATCATCACCATGGAAAGAATACATTGGGCGATAGATTTCTTCGACAAATACAAAAGCCGGCAATGCTACAAACAACAAAAGCAAGCACGGGAAAATGGCTGCAAAGCAATCTTCCAGGCATGCATTAAAAACAGCACACATACCTCTTCCATGGAAGGAAGCGAGGGTAGTCTTCATACCAAAACCAGGAAAAAGAGGACACATCCAAGCCATGGATTATAGGCCGATAAGCCTTACCTCCTTCCTAATGAAAACACTGGAACGGATCATTGATATCCCCATCACAGAAAGAACGGAGAAAAACCTTTCCAATGCGCAACATGCGCACAGGAAAGGCCGATCCACGGAAACAGCATTACACGAGGTAGTGCGATACATAGAAAAGGCTCTACTTTTTCAAAACTACGCCATGGCCACCTTCCTGGACATAGAAGGAGCCTTTAATAACGTCAATGCGGATTTCATCCTGAGTTCCCTCAACGGTATAGGAGTAGAGGGAGGCATCAGGGCATGGATTGGCGCAATGCTGACGAGCAGGAGGATAACAGCCGAATTGAGTGGCACTCATCACACAAGATTTGTGAAGAGGGGCACACCTCAGGAGGGAGTCCTGTCCCCACTGCTCTGGCTGATAAACATGGACGACGTACTAAGAACACTAAATAGCGAAGGAGTAAAAGTGGTAGCATACGCAGACGACGTAGTCCTACTCACTTCAGGACCATTCCCCGACGTCATCAGCGAACTAATGACAAGGGCACTCAATAAACTCAATGCATGGTCAAAAGCCTGCGGATTGGGCATAAATCCAAGTAAATGGAACTAATGCTCTTCACTAGGAGAACAAAGGTCCCTAGCTTCCACAAAGCCAAAGATAGATGGCATAGAACTAGAGATATCACAGCAGGCAAAGTATCTGGGAGTGATACTGGATGCGAAACTGTCATGGAAACAAAACATCAACGAGAGAGTCAAGAAAGCAAGCATAGCATTCTATTCCTGCAGGAAGATGTTCGGAAAGAACTGGGGCATTCACCCCAGGGATAATATGGCTTTCACAGCGGTGGTAAGACCCATACTCACATACGGAGCACTAGTATGGTGGCCAGCATTAACTAGGGCATACAACGTACAGAAACTAACAAGGATACAGAGATCGGCATGCGCAGGAGCCACAGGAGCACTGAGATCATGCCCCGCGGCGGCGCTGAACGCCATCCTGAACATAATACCGATAGAGCATTTCATCAGGAACACTGCAGCACAAGGTGCGGTACGACTTAAGGCTAGTCAAAGCTGGAGAGACTACCACACCGGGCACTGCAGGATTCTGAACGAGATAAACTATCGGACGACAGAGACACAGACTACATGACAACCAGAACTGCGATTCGGTAACACATACACCACTATATACCCTACATGGGAGGACTGGAAGAGAGGGAGAGTAACCGAACCGGGCGAAGTATCACTCTTCACCGACGGCTGAAAGATGAGCGGCGGAGTAGGGGCCGGAATCTACGCCGAGAGCTGGAAGGTGGAGGAATACTTACACCTCCCAGAGTCAGCGACGGTTTTCCAGGCGGAGGTTCTCGCGATACTGAAAGCTGCCGAACTTTCGCTAGACCGAGGCCTCCGGAATCCCTCGCAAAAGCACGGACGACTTCAAAACTAGTGGCCAAATGTAAAGGGGCACTAAACAGACTAGCAGAAGACAACAGGGTACAAATAGCCTGGGTACCCGGACACAATGACATAGACGGAAACGAGAAAGCAGACGAGCTGGCCAGAAAAGGGTCAGAAGAACACTCAGCAACAACAGACATACAGATCTCCCTGAACTCAGTCCAGACGGAAATTCATGACCATTTCAAACAACTAGCCAGCAAGGAATGGTCGACGAAGGCAGAGCACAGAAGATCGAAACTATGCTGGCCAGAATTCAATAGGAAGAGAACCGCAGAACTGATCTCCAAGAGCAAAAAGGACATCAGGAGGATAGCGGCAACCATCACCGGCCACTGGCCAATAGGCACGCAAGCCTGTAAGATGGGTCTACCCTACAACCCAATGCAGAAGCTGCAAGGAACCAAGCGAGCAGGAGACACCAGAGCATCTGCTGTGCCACTGCCCGGCACTCAACAAACAAAGCACAACAAAGCAAACGGAGCACACCAACTCGAGTCACTAGGGAAGTTGGAAGGCAGCCAGTAGCGGCCATCCTAGCTTACCTGAATGACACGGGCTGGTACTAAGTAGGGCGCAGACAACAACAAATCGAGGGTGTGAATCAAAACGGAGGATTCCAAGCCTCTGCGGAATACCGCACTATAGCGAGGTCCCTTGCCGTATCCAGAGCAAAAGTGTGCATTAAGGGAGGTTCAACCTGATTAAGAAACTTGTATAGGAAATGCAAGCGAAAGTGCTAAACGCATTAGGCAAGCGTTGGGAGTACATTTCCAATAAATACTTATTGATTTGCATATACATTTTAAATTTATAGATTTTTATTTTAATTCTTTTTTTTAAGTATGTTTCTGTCTTCCCTGATGAAGAAGTCCGCTTTTTTCCTTTTCTACCAGTTCTTCCAATTGGTCCCGAAAATTCTTTCGCTGCCCAGTCTCAAGAATGGACGACTGGCTAAGACATTTTCCGTCCAATCCCCTAGAAGTGACCCCAACGACAGCTCTTCTTCTTCACACATTGTGTATCACACAAATCTATTTTCGGCCATTTTTGAAATCAGATGGAATTATTTGAATTATCAATCGTCAGCTGCTTAGTTTTTTTCGATTTGGTGGTGGAGCTTGTTCGATAGTCCGAATATCGAGTAGAAATCTAACAAATTTGTTGTAATCGACACGAATATCGAACAAATCTGTTGTTATCGATATGAACGCAACTTGGACGCAACTTGGACGCAACTTTTTCCCATCACTAAAAACTACGTTTACTGAGTTAACGCAATAACGCAGCCTGGTGTAAATAGACTATTAGCTTCATGCCGCAGTGTTGGAATAATATACGAGGGCTCCCCCTGGCAGATCCCAACTACGCCCGGTCGAAAAGAGTCGATCTCATCTTAGGAGTGGACATGTTGGCGCAAATCATGCTGCCAGACACCAGGATCGGAATGCACGCTTCGGATGGATCTATTCGGGACGTGCGGAAGGAGTAAGAGAAGCAACACGATTGCGCTGTCATCGAGTGCAGCTGAATACGGAAGCATTGCTGAAGCGTTTTGTGAGGTCGATT